ATGAAAAAATATCAAAAAAATAAATAAATAAACATGAGACACTAAGTAACATCAAAGCGAGAGGAAATGCATAGAAACAGTTGGTCTCAGACGAAAGATAGGCGACAAATTAAGAGTTTCATTTTGAGTACCTATGAATCAATTATAAACAACTTCTGATCACATGATCGATTAGCTAAATACCAATTCACAAACGTCCAAAATTTACATATACAGTTGGAACCTGAAGTAAATAACATCGTAGATAGATGCTGTATACTGACTGGCATAGCTACTCCTAATTGTCCGTCTGACCAACTAAACTCTGTTGGCTTCAGTTGAATATTTCAAATTATTTGAGTCCCATCTGCTATAAATGGCCTTTTTCAAACCAACTGAAAAATATCTTTTCGGTGATTTCATTTTCAAAAGCTGTAAAATCGCAATTATATACATGGTTTTACATAGACACAAGTCTTAATTGATTCTACATAATTACGAAGGCGAATAAAGGTGACAAATATATTCAACTAGATATGGTTTACGAGAGGATTAGAAACAAAATTACACAGGATTAGAACGGATAGCAAGTGGGTAAAAATGAGAATGGAAACAAAATTGTAATAATAATTTTCAACTTGAGATGGGAGTTAGGAGGTGTGAATATAGATTACAAGAGCCTTAGAAGGAGGCGCCGGTTCACTCAGAAGTGCCATTATTGAACATCTGATCAACACCTCCCACAACACCTCAAGTGATTCTTTCAAAGTAATTTACAAAATCAACAGAAATCTACCAAAAGCAGTATGTTTCCGACTTTTCTGTACTGTAGAAGCCCTCGTAATATGCATCGAAAAGCTGGAGCTGTGTGTTCAAAAGAAATTAGTCGAACCTCTCTCTACAACAACCATGGACCTAATTCGGTATAGTCCCTTAGCTTCCGTTTTTTCTTTCCTTCTGTTTTTCGTCCTCTATGTGTATGATTCTTACTCCCTGCGTCTTCCTAAAAGTCATCCCATTTTTTCAGTTTTAAAAGCAGTTATTTTAAGTTTGTTTCCATGCTTTTCCTGTTCACATTTAAATTCGTTTATAATAACTGTTTTGGAATTATATCTTAATCCTGTGCAATTTTTGTGTTTCTAAGGCTCTTGTAATCTATATTCACACCTCCTAACTCCCATCTCAAGTTGAAATTATTATTTCAGTTTTGTTTCCATGCTCATTTTTACCCACTTGCTATCCGTTCTAATCCTGTGTGTAATTTTGTTTCTAATCCTCTCGTAAACCATATCTAGTTGAATATATTTGTCACCTTTATTCGCCTTCGTAATTATGTAGAATCAATTAAGACTTGTGTCTATGTAAAACCATGTATATAATTGCGATTTTACAGCTTTTGAAAATGAAGTCACCAAAAAGATCAACATCTTTGCTGTACTTTGTGTTCCCTTTTTTCTAATGTCCTTATGGGTGTTTTCCAGAACTAAGAAAATTCCCACTAAGTGATTTAGTCTCTTCCGAAAGATTATTTGGGGTAAACTAGATACACTACAAATCTTCCTGGACATCATTTTGCCCATAGAACAACATCAAAACTTTCTGTCTGTCTGTTTTCGACATAGAACTTTGCACTGATGTGCGGCAGTTCAAGTCACCACAATCCATATAGCACACAAAGCAAGGGAAGAAAGTAGAATAAATGCATAATAGAGACAGTAAACAGAGGTGTGAGACAAAGGAATAGTAGTAACGAAAAACAATACAGTTTTATTGGGAATCATATGTCACAAGGAGTGGATGCATCTGCGCCATTGACAACGACGATTTTGAGCCATGTCACCAATTGTTTCCAACCATTGGTTTTCACCGTCCCGAGGACCCCAACCAGCCAGTCAGGAAGCCTACACCTTCCTACGTGGCTTAGACTAACTGTTGTAGATTTCATTGACTGGTGCCATGTTTTTTTTGACCTCCGCTAGCTCTTTTCCAGCCTGACACTATATTGTCCATTGTCGAGGAAGGCGATGTGACTAGGCATATGTAACACATGTCCTAACCATCTCAGTCGATGTAATTTTACAGCCTCGTCGATTGATTTCTTCTCCTTACCTAGAACTCGACGCTTAACCTCAATATTGCTCACCTTGTAACAACAGAAGACAAGGGCCAGGCAACAGATCGTTTTATTATGAAAATCAACACGTATTTATATATATTTCACATACATTATTATAGCTTATGCAAGTAGACAAGCGCAGTCATCTGATTGGTTGTTTATCAGAAGTTAAGCAGACAAACGCAGGTTTCTGATTGGTTGCTTCGGGATACCTCGAAAAATAGAGTTCTCTATCTGCGAATCATATTTTGCCACGTTAAGTTTGCTGTGATTGGTTGTTGAATCAGCCTTGCTCATATTTTCTCACGGCCTGCTCTCACCACAACCTTATTATACCACTTCACACGGGAGATAGAGCGTAGACACCCATAATCAAATCCAGCTAACCTTTTAGTGTCTCCCACTCTTGATGTCCAGGTCTCACAGCCATAAAGGAGGACGGAGCGGACTGATGAGCAGTACACCCACCCTTTGGTCGATAGTCGGATATCTTGTCTATGCCAGAGACGGCGTGAACCGGCATATGCGAAACCAGCCCTCTGTATCCGTTCTGAGATTTCGTCAGATATCACGCCGTTGGCGCTGGCGGTCAACGTGCTCTACCACTTCACTTCCTATTTCTAATCTAGGAGTCGAAAGTTTGATCAACAGATATGTGTAATTAGTCACAGACTTAACGTGTATTTCACCGAAAGCACTTCCAGTAGGATACTGCTAACCTTCACAAATCAAAAAACACTTCCCATCGATAGATACTGAAGGTGGAAGGAGTAATCGACTGAGTGTACGGGCAGGTTAGACAACAAGGGATCCTATCAGATAAACAAACACTCAACAATCTATTACTCAAAAAGTACACAGGGAGAAAGGAAAGGATATGCACTAGGCATATTTTGACCATTCATGAATTATCAGCATCTAGACAGTGCTGAAAACAAAACACGTAATTCAGTGAATACATTTTCTTTAGTTGTACAATCGCATCTTTATAACACTTATTCAAATCCTCCTATCCACCGACGAATATTCACAACTATCATTATGACAACTCATCACTTTTGTTACTACCCTCTATCATGAAAATACTGTATATAAATAAATAGGAGTGCACAACTAAAAAGGGAAATAAATTCACTAGAAAGATCCTCTTCGTTGAACTACATGTCTTGTTTTGTATACTTCGAGGAGACAGACTTGCAAGTGACATCACACGGCAGTCAAACTTCTGAGTGGAACCTGACTAGCGAAACAATGGATTGAGCATTAATTAGAGAATGACACTGTGGAGATCGTGTGAATAGGGAGTGAAAACTTCTAAGCAGTTACACGGATCGTTGGAAGTGATTGTTAAGCGCCGAATTAGCCTGAAACAACAAGTACACCTTCTTTCAGATACAGAAAACCAAAGGAAAAAAACAAGACTAATGTATTTTTTTAACAAATATATGTATGTATGTATATTAACGCTTTGTGTTGCATATTATTTCAATTTTCTTGAATACAGATAACAGAATACACTAAAAATTTATTGAAATTAACAATAATTTCAATAAAATTAAATCAAAAAGAAATCAAGAATGTGAAGGAGAAAAGAAAGAAGGTTGATTAGCCTTTGCACACACATACACAAACACACAAATCCTGACAAATAACAATTACACAAATAAATAAAAAGAAAGTGAAATGGAAAACACAACTAAAAGTGACATTGTTGAACATTGAATTGAATAAATAAATTAGTCAATAAATAAATAATTAAATAAATAAACAAATTAATTCATTAATTATAGGCACAATTCACATTACAAAAAAAAGAAGCTGAGGAGAAAAAGGAAACCCAAGACACGCTCTTTTTATCACGACTCACATTATGCCTGTATTATCTTGTTTATTTTTGTTTTGTTCAATAGTCCAAGAGTTTTCAAGGTCATTTTGTTTAAATTAATTATTGTAAATAAATAGTTGAAAAAACGCGCGAAAATTAAACCAACAAATAAACGCTTAGAGTGTTATTACACATAATTGAAAAAAGAATAATAATAATAATAGTAATAATAAGGCAACATAAATTTTAGAATAAGGATAAAATCGAGAATAGAAAACACTAATATCAATTTAAATAAATGCAATTATATATTCTTCAGTAATAATAATAATAATTATTATTATTAATAACACCTTTGGAATATTATTTCAAGACTAGTAAAGTGATATGAAAAAGTCATTATTATTTTTATTATGATAGTAACTTGTGCATTGACTGACTGCATTATTACGTGAAAGTGCCAACGAAAATGATTAAATTTCAGAAATTAGCACACAGACAAGCACACACAGGCGCCCATATCAAGTAGTGAGTTTCTAACCGTCTCACTATCGTCTGTGACGTTTGCTGTTAAAACAACCAGTGTATTTCTCATCCATCTATCTATCCATCTCCATATACACCTGAATATTATTTAAATTATATAAGAATTAGTGGAAATATGTAAGAGGAGTAGAAATACAAAGTAAAGACGCTTGGATTACGCGTTTTTTCCACAAATGACCCAGCTGTATGCGTCGGTAGGGAATAGTTTTTGAACATAACAAGAGAGCAAGAATGAGCCCGGTCCCAAAGTCAGAAGGAATAGAAGTCCAGTGTTTGTTATTTTTGTTGTCGTTTTTTTCTCGGGAGGCAGGGTAAGGAATACAAAAACAAGAAGCACAGAAAAATAAATAAAGACTGAACTATAAAAACAGACAAACAAACAAACAAACAAATAGACGAAAATGGAGAATGAAGCTTATCGCGAGTTGGAAATCAGTCGGCATTACATCTTACTTACTTACGTACTTACTTATTTAAGTGTTCCTCAGACAAGGACAACAGCAACAAGAAGAACAACACCCTTGACAATAAATGCTATTTCTGTTGTCGTTGTTGTTCTTGCTGTTCTGTTTTTTTCGGTAACTGTAATGTAGTCAAGGCACTACTTCGTCGACGATGTAAATTTTCACCTGGAAGGAAGATTGGTTGGTCAATAGACCAGTCGGAACTACGTGTATCTGATGATTTTGTAGTGATTGCATGACATGACGTCTTTCTAGTGTTATTCTTAGTATTATTATTATCATCATCGCCCTTGGTAGTTGGGGTCGATAAGCTAGGAGGAATATGAACATTACCATTCTTACTCTCTTTGATTGTCTTGTCTGATAAATTTGAATGCAGTAATGAAGGGTAGGTTAGATTGGGGAAACTTTCATAACTTGTCGACTGTAGAAGATCTGATCGACTGACCTGATCACTACAATCATATTGTGGTATACGATGATAGATAAGCGGATCAATTGATGCGGTAGTTGTCGGTGATACAGTTGGCATAAGAAATGATGAATACGTCGTTGTCCCTGTCCTTGTCTGCATATCTTCATAATTATTTGATTGACAGGCATTATGATTATTTATGGAATGTGGAAATAAAGTGTTCCCCGCCTGTGTAACAACATAATATTGTCCTGATGGTGAAGGAACACTCAGTAGACTACTGAAACTATGCCCGTAAACAGGAGATAAAGATGGGCATAGTTTTGTTCGACAATCTTCACTCACTGACAACTTTTCACATGGTCCAGTTGGTTGTACACTGAAATCTGTTTGAATTAAATCACTTGTTGATGAGGTGAATAGTATTCTTGGACTGACAACTTGTACTAAATCAGAATTAACAAATAAATTTGTTCTCAAATGTTCTTTCATATTATGATGCATTTCTAATAATGACATGGTTGACATTGCTGTTTGTGAATGATGATGATGATGATGATTATTAGTGTAGATTGTAATTTCTTCATCTAAATGTTTTAATCGGTCGGGTGTAAAAGTCAATGAAGGGATTGTTGTTGGTCGAAGGAACCATTCCGCACGTCGATTTAAATTTTCCATTTGTCGTCTACGCAATGATCTATAACGACTTTGATTACGTCGTAGATTTACTACACCGACGACAGAATAAGAGCTTGTATTCATTTCACCATTATTGTTATTATTATTATTGTTATTGTTATTATTATTTAATAATTTGCCTGTTTCATGAACATCGGCTTTAGCATAGGAAGAATATTTGACATCTTTAGTATCCGCTGTTGCTACACCTGATGTCTAGAAGGGCAAAAAGGGTAAAATTCGAATCAGGCAGTTTGGTAGAAAGTTTGAAAACAAAGTAGGTAAATATATATATAAGAGATGATGAACAAAGATTTATAGGATTATGCATAATGCAACTTTAAAAACCAGAGTATTCCACCACCAAGGAGTGGAAATCTCTGCGGACAAACACTTGAAAATTACAGGTTTGATGAAGGAGCTGAGATCAGTCAGAGAAATGTGGGAATATCAGCGAGTATTGGATAGATATTCTGTCCTAGTTACAGACTCTTAAGAGCTAAGCATCCATTGAGCTCTTGAACGATTAAACCAGTATGATCCAGTCGATGCATAGTTTCAAAGAGTCTCAAACTGGGGGAGAAACAGCTGTCCAGTACTCTTTGGTTTTCTAATCGTTCTCTTACTGACGTCAGCTGGTGATTAAGGCTGTATAACACCTATGAAATCCCTGCAAACTAACAATTGGAAACTTGAAAACTAATCTCATGCACACTAAGAACTGACTGCAGGATAAAGTCGCCTGAAGTTCCAGTGCAAAGTTATGATCATTGGGTTACATCATCATCTCAGATGCGAGGACACAATATGCATAGATGACACTGGAGTATCTCAACGCAGTCAGTGAATGTTCCATAGGCTCACTTCACGACTTGGAGGTATTGCTTGAGGCTATGGGTGCGCAATAGGGAACAGTCCAATAATAGGTCAAGATAATGATATAGTATTCCGTGATTTTTAATAGTTCTTTAACTGATTTCAGTCATTTTATTTGACGTAGTCAAATTAACTTACTTCACATAACTGTCAAATAAGATAAATATTACTTTTACCATAGACAGGCTTACAAACCAGTATCACTCCGTCATAACATATTTTGGCAATGGGATATTCATTTCAGTGCAAACAGTCCAAAACTCTAGTAGAATTCAGTGCAATCCAGTTTCATTTCTGTCGTTCAGGTTTGAGCAAGTTCAGTTACTATTACAACAGTGAAAAGGCGTTATGAAGCCCTCCAAGCTAATAAACGAATGTCCTACTACCCTGGTGCAATGCTAGTTTCACCATTCCCATTCAAGCCACCTATAGTTGAAAGGATGCTGCCAAATTAAGCAAAAGAGACAACTTTCTTTAGATACCGGTTCTGAGTCCGGAAAGAGAAGGAAGTTAAGGGTGTAGAAAGCTGTATCACTACAGAAACTTCAAACACCAGAAAGAACAGATTTATTCTCCACTGGGGATCGAGGAAGACAAGTAACACCAGTTGGTGAAAGCTTTCAAGAAATCACTAAACTGTTGTATCTTCCTTCGATGAAAGCAGTTGAAAACTAACCACATTTTTCAAGTGTTGGTTTCAGGTAGGTAGTTACCTGAGGTTCTAGTGAGAAGTCGTGACCAGTTGGGTACAGCAGGTCGGGTGTCAGGACAAATACTCGCCAGCGATCACATTGGCTAGGGGTAGCGCTATGTCGTGAATTGACGGAAGTTAGAATTCGTGGGCCATTAGATCGGGTACCAGTGGATTAATGGTCTACAAGCTCGCTAACCTTGTAACCAGAAGGTCCTGTGTTCGAACCCGGTGGTGTGGGTGCGTACTATTGAAGAGTCCTAAACGGGGAAGAAACAGCTATCCAGCATTCCCAGGTTTTCTAATGGTCCTCTAATTAATGTCAGCTCATAATGAAAATCCTGTAATCACATTTTTATTTCACTTTTTGTATTTTTAAATCAAAACTTACGTGTCCAGATGATGTAACTGAATAGACAGGTTGAACCATTAATGACTCCATAGGTTTATCTTGGTCAACTGTTGTTTTATCAACATGCTGATAATATGTTGACTCCATAGAGGCTTCTCTATGCATTTGATGCTGTTGTGATTGTTTAGATTTTTGTAGTCGACTGGAATCTTTCAACGGGAAACAGAAATGTTTTACAGATGATGTTAGTGATGCTGGTGAAGACGATGAGAAACCAGAAGAAAAATTATTATTGTTGTTATTATTATTACCGTGATGATCACTTGCAAAGCAGAATAAACGACCAGCAGCGTTGATTAGACGAGCTGAACAAGCCGACTTGGAATAAACTGTTGAGAGAGAGAAAAAAAGCAAGAAAAAAATTAGGAACAAAAGTTATGCCTTCAAAACATTAATTTGTAGGGATTCTAGTTTTATTGCAGGTTAGATAACGGAGTGATATCAGTTAGAGAACTATGCTTGCCTAGTGATTGCCTAAAGTCATGACTAATGGAGTCCATCCAGTCGGCAGTGAGACTGGAGTTCTTGCTGATGACATCGGTTGGTTGGTGGCAGTTGCGTTGAAATCACAAGTTTTCAGAAGTTGGAATTCATCGGCTGGTTATTGAATCAGGTCGCACTGGCTGAATGGTATATAAGCTTGCCTTGTAACCAGAAGGTCTTGAGTTCGAAACCTAGTGGGTATGCACTGGTGATGAGTCACAGAGCAGAACAAAAGAAACAGCTGTCCAGCATTCCCTGGTGCTTATTAATCGTTATCTAATTGATATTAATCCATGGGCTAATTTAAAACAAAAGTAATCCTTTCTCATAGGAAAAAGTGAAATTTTTCAAGTTTTGGTTAGCTGCAGGAATTTCATTGATATAAAAAGTTTGATCACAGAGTTAGACAACCACTTAGAACTGGAGGGTATTGGCCGACTGTTTTGTCCTGGTTTGAGACTCTTCCAGCCCAGAACCTTGAGGTGACTAGCAGTATCCACCGCCAAATTGGTCGGGTGTGAAGACGTATACTTGCTTATGACGTTCAACGGCAGCAGGTGTTATGTATAACGAATCGAAGGGAGTTAAAACTGATAGATTTCATCTCAGTAGTTGAATGGTCAATGAGCTGTCCATGTAACCTGAAGTTACTGGAGACGATCTCGTATAGTTACGCTGATGAGTGTACACTGATGAGGAGTCCCAAACTAGGATGAAACACCTGTAAATTAGTCCCTAGTTTTCAATGGTTCTCTAAATGATGCCCTTCTGATGAAAGTAACTGGAAAGACAGTACTATGACATATTGGTTACGGGATTTCAACATCAGCTGACATCGGTTAGAGAAGCATTGGAAAACCAGATGGGAGTACCGGAAAACTGTTTCTTCAGCCTAGTTTGGGACTCTTCATCAGCACGCACCCACAACACAGTAGGGTTCCAACACAGAACCTTTTGTTTACAAGGCGAGCTAGCTCATAGACCATTATGCCACTGGGACTGCTGAAGAGTCCAATACTAGGACGAAACAGCTGGCTCTTCAGTACTCCCAGCTGGTTTCCCAACGGTTCTCTAACCAATGTTAGCTCATGATGAAATCCTGTAACCAATCAACCAAATCTCTACAAATCAATACTTGAAACTATGACATATTGTTGTATTCTACACTGTTCCGCTTCAGAAAACCTAGAGAGTAATTCGGCTAGTTATTAGCATGAGTCTGGAAGAAGAAATTCTGTCTTCTTACTGACGACTTCAACATTCAAAGTTAGCAAATAAACTGTCATCAGTTAGAGAATCATTAAAAAAAACTACAAAGTACTGAACAGCCGTCTCGTCACGGTATGAAATTCTTCAGCAGTACACACTCGTAACTCTACCCACACAGAGTAGAATTCAGGAACTTTGAGATGTACAAGGCAAGCATGTTGTTGACTATTACACCACTGGGATGGGATTCAGTCACTCATGAACTTTAATTTCTAGCATTTCACTAGGTATATAGCCACTGCCAGCTATTGCTATCAAGGAGTATTTGGCTGTCAAACTTGAGTTGATGGACCGCCATGAAAAAACGTAGTACACATTCTGTGAAGATACAACCACGGTATGTGTAATATTTTCGTTGAAAAATAACCCAAATTTCATAAAAAGGGATTTTATTCAACCAAAGTTGACGTAATCTGATATGGATAATTAGCCTAACTTCTACTCGAGGGAGATGTATGATCAAATACCTATCACGTGTTTACACTTTAACTAAAAATGGTCAGACTTTTGATTGAACACTAGTAACTAGTGTGATATGTGTCTAGTCCTTTCTTTGATGCAGACTGAATTCAGAATCAGTCAGGTTGTCCAATCAAAATATCCATTACAGTCCTACAGGAGGTCAATCGCAAGCCCGAATAGCTTTGGTGGTAACGTCTCTGACTGCAGCACAGGGTGATGCGGGCTCGAATCTCAAAAGGGACATGAGTTCCTTCAAGGTTGCAGATACGTCTTGCTGATGATTGCCAACCAGCATGAACCCTAGGTTCAAGGCTTCCTGTGGCCGATTGCCTCCAATCATCTAATATCATGGTCAAACTTTATTGACGCCAACCACTATTGGCTAAAATTGAGTTTATATATTTGGTTATTTTATCACATGTGAATTTAGTTAAAGATGTGAGGGTGGAGGTTGGAAGGCGCACTTTGTGTTCATAAGGATAATTCACTAAATAGTCAGTTCCCAGTTTCTGGGGACGCAAATACATCCAGTCCTTGTGACTTATAATATCCAGTAAAACTATGTTGTTTTTCCATATTACTATTCGTTCGCCTCAGAATAATGATCGAATCTCTGAGAAATGGCCGTGAATAGTGAGTAAAATAGGCCTCTACTTTTGAAATAGTTGAATACCACTGGGAATAATTACATTCAATGGAATCCTATACACTTCTGCTTCGAATGGAGGTATTATTTCTACGAAATGAGCTTCAACTGAGATCTTCTGTGTTGATTTTGAGTCTTAGTGACTTTATCATTGGCCAAAAGTTCATACTTCTTCAAGTGTTTGAGGGCTAATGCATCGCAAAATCTCTCATGGTCACCGATGCTTTAGAAACCTGCAGTTTGTCAGGAAGAAACACGTTCTGTAATTATTGATAAGATTGAAAAGATATGTTCCTTCCTTCTCATGAGCTATCAACTCTGATTGGATATATATATGTAAATTAACTTTGTGGACGATCCTTATAAAAGAGATCTTTGAAGGACAAGTTTGCTAGTGATAGTGTGGATCTGCAAGGGAAGATGTAGTACTTGAGGTGGTCCAACTAGGTTCAGATGTACACAACTAACTTAAACTGGTTACATTCATTCAGCTGTTTTTATGTTTATAAATTACATATGAGCTTACGAAGTACAGGATAATGTTTTTGGACTAACTAGAGCCGACTGACTGACTGACTGACTGGTTTCAACATAGAACTTTGCACAGATGTGTGCGGCAGTTCGAATAGCCACACGTCACTCAACTCACAAAGGCAGAGAAGAAAGTAAAAGTAAACGCAAAATAAAGACGGTAAACAGAGATATGAGGCAAAAAGAATAGTAATATCGAAGAACAATATGGTTTTATTCGATACAATACGTCACAAGGAGTTGAAGCATCTGCGCTAGCCATTGATAACGATTTTCAGCCACATCACAGACTGTCTCCAGCCTTCATTGGTTTTTATCATCCAAGGACCGCAACCAGCCAAGAAGTCTGTCTGTCTATCTGTCTGGATTCAACATAGAACTTGGCACCGAAGTGCACCAGTTCGAGTTGCCACGTTCCAAATAGCACACAAAGGTAGACAAGAAGATGAGTGAAGAGAATCAATAGAGTTTGACAAGTATAAGAGTGAAACAGAATGGGTAATGGTAGAAAGGAATATGAAAGATTACAGAGACTGAATACATCTCGCTGGCCATTGACAACGATTTTGAGCCATGTCACCTATTGTCTCCAGCCATTGATTCCTAGAGTCCCGAGGGCCCCAACCCGGGAGTCTGCATCTCCCTACCTGACTCAGTTTAACTGTCAAGGATTTCATGGATTGATGCCATGTTTTTGTTTGGCCACCACTGGCTCTTTTCCAACCTGCACCTATATCAGCTAGTAATGCCCGTCGGGGGAGGCGGTGGTTAGGCATGCGCAGCACGTGACCTAGCCATCTCAGTCTATGTAACTTTATAGCCTCGTCGATTGATTTTCCCTCTTTGCCCAACACTCTACGCCTAACGTCAACATTACTTACCTTATTAAACCACCTAACGTGAGACAGAGATCGCAGACATCTATGATCGAAAGCAGTCAACCTTTTCATGTCTTCAACGCGTATTGGCCATGTTTCAGAGCCATAGAGAAGGACGGAGCGAACTGCTGAGCAGTACACACGTCCCTTGGTTGATAACCGGATGTCACGCCTACGCCAGAGATGGTGTAAGTCAGCGAAAGCAGCTCGAGCTTTTCGGATCCGTGCTGAGATTTCATCGCCAATCAGTCCGTTGGTGCTAATACAACTTCCCAAATAGGTGAAGTGGTCAACATGTTCTATCACTTCACTCCCTATCACTAAAGGTAGGGGTTGACGTGGTCCAGTCCTGTAGCAGCATCTTACATTTTGCAGGGGCGAATCGCATGCCAAACATACGAAGATTGCTGCTCAAGGTGTTCAGAAGACTCTGCATTTTGTCAGCATCCTCCCCTAACAGGACTATGTCATCTGCATATTCTAAGTCCATAAGACTATTCCCTGGTAACAAGTCGATTCCTAAGTCTTACGTTCAGTTAAGGATACTTCCATCAGCATATCTATGATGAAGTTAAACAGAAATGGGGAAAGTGGACATCCCTGTCGGACACCACTGGTTGTTACCAATTCAGATGACAATTCCCCATAAGCCCTTACACGACTACGTGAGTTTGAATAGAGTGCCTTGATTAGTGCAATGTACTTTCTTGGCACTCCCTTCACAGTCAGACATTGCCATAGTACCTTTCGATCCACGGAGTCGAAGGCCGCCTTCAAGTCAAGAAATATGACAATTGTTGGACGCCGAAAAGTGTGTCTATGTTCTAGAATCTGTCGAAGAGTGAAGATATGATCTATGCACCCTCTACCTGGTCTAAAGCCTGCTTGATTTTCCCTTGTCTGTTCCTCCCGAGTTCTGCTTAGTCTATGCATGATTACTGAGCCTAGGATTTTAGAGACTATGTTCGTTAGGCTGATCCCCCTATGATTATCACACGAGGACTTGTTTCCCTTCTTGAATATCGGTATAATAAGTGACTTACCCCAGTCTGATGGCACTGTCTCTGATTCCCAGACTTTGCCTAGTACCTCAGTTAATCTACAAACTAGTATGTCACCCCCATATTTAAACACCTCCGGAATAATTCCGTCGGGTCCTGCCGCTTTGCCTCGTTTCAAATTACTGATAGTTTTTTGACCTCACTTACAGACGGCGGACCAGTGTCTATATCCCATTCGGGTGTGTGTGGATGTGGGGAGGTTCAGTGTGGCTGTAGGCAAGTTAAATTGTCCTCAAAGTGTTCTTTCCAGCGTTCAAGGCGTCTATCCTGAGAGCTAATTAAGGAGCCATTTTTCTCAGAAATAGTCTCACTTATGATTGCCTTCTCCCACCCGTTTCCCTGATGAGTCTAAAGAGTTGCCTAGTGTTGCCTATCGCCGATGCTTTTTCCATCTCTTTTGCCTTTGTCACCCACCACTGTTCACGGTCCTTGCGGAGACTTTTAGTAAGTTTCCTTTTGTGCAGCTTTCGCTCCTCATTGAATTCGGAGCTCGCCGGAATAAGTCTTCTAGCATCTATCAGTTCGGATGAGGCAGTCGAAATCCAGTGGTTTTTACTCACCTTTGGATTTGCCTTATTCACAGCTTTTACAGCTGTATCTATAGCTGACTGAATATTCTTCCAGGCTTCTCCAGGGTGAGCACAGCTGTCGAATTCAGATATGCGTTTAGCTAGTTCTTCCTCAAATAGGGATTTAGTTTCCTGATCGAGCTGGGGACGTGATGGTTTTACCGCCAGCTGTTTCCTACGTCCGTTCAGTCGTAAGCACACACGAGCCCGGACCAGTGCGTGATCGGTATCTACACACGTGTTCCAGAAGGAGCGACAATCTCCTACCGACCCACGCCAACGATAGCTTATTGCTATGTGGTCTATTTGTGTCCAGCGTTGGTTTGATGATGGGGGTCGCCAAGCCAAACAGTGTCTCTCCTTGTGTTTAAAGTTAGTGCTTACAAGAAACAAATGATTATCAGAACAGAACTGTAGGAGACGGTCACCGTTGTCGGTTCGCTGGCACGGAACTCCATAGGTGCCACCGACATCCTTCTCAGATTGACACAATTTCCCTACTTGAGCATTAAAGTCACCAGCTAGAACGACTATATCTGAGCGTTAAGCCTTTTGCAGCAAACTAGACAGCTTTTGGTAGAACTCATCTTTCGTTTCATCCGAACTGCAGTCAGTGGGGGCGTAGGCGGAGGCCAGGAAGTCTACATTTCCCAACGTGGTTGGCTAAAACTAATTGTTATGGATTTCATAGACTGAAGAAGGAATGTTTTGCATTGACCACCACTATCTGTTTTCCAACCTGACCCATCCTAACATCGCCCGTCCATCGAGGAAGACGATGACTAGGCAGGCATGCATAACACATGTCCTAACCATCTCAACCGATGCAACTTCACAGCCGCGTCTATTGATTTCCCCTATTTTACCTAGCACTCATTGGACGCCTAACCTCAATATTGCTCACTGTATTATACCATCAGCTGACATGGGAGATAGAACGTAAGCATCTATGATCAAAGACAGCTACTGGCTATAGAGCACGGACTAGAGAGCATTCTTTTATTTGCTGAGATACTGGGAAGTATTGAAAACTTGTCGACTTCGACATTAATATAAGTGGTGGTGGTGGTGTTTGCAGCTCGACAGAACTTCGAGTCACATTTTGACATTCGGATTAACATACACTAACTGGAACTTTAGTGTGATAGCAAAAAGGGTTTGGATTTATGTCAGTTGAATAAAAGCAGTTCTTCCCCAATTTGTTGGTTATACATATATGAAGGCCATCTGTGTTCTTACAATGGTTTTTTTCGAAGACTGCTGTGGAGACATAGTCAGTACATGGTATGAAAGTGTTACTTGAAGCGTAGTGATGTGTTTAGTAGACATTTATTGATACATCGTGACTCGCATTTTATTAGAAACAGACCTCAAATACGAGGTTGGTGTGTAGTACACTTCATGGGATATGGATGCCCTTACTGTTACAGTTACTCTAGTGTTATTCTTCATTATGGTAGATACAATTATGCAACTGACCTTGGGAGGGGCCAGAAGACAGGCATATGTTGGACAGATAAGAAGACACTAGGAGATCTGGACTTCGCGGGCGATTTACGTCTGACGTCACCTATGCACACACACACACACACTCGAAGATTTACAAGCGGAAACCAACAAGTTGCTGGATGAAGCAGAAAAGACAGAATTCCAAGTAAAAACAGAGGTGATGAAGATACCGAAGCCAACACTAAAACCAAACACCAGTTACCACCAACCGGAGAAATGTGAAGGTGGTCATATGCCAGGCTCTCAAGTGGAACCTGACTGGGAAACGACGAGCTAGAAGTCGTTGTTATACCCAAATAAGGAGCGGACATCTGAGACACTGCATAAGCAGGATTCTCAATAAAGCAGGAATCAGAGTGGCGTTTAAACCTACACACTCACTCAGGGATAAGCTCTGTAGGTTAAAGGACACTGTAGGTTGACCTAATTAGACAAAATAATATTATTTACAAAATACCTTGCAATGACTGTGAGTTCGGTCAACTACATAGGCCAGTCAAACTAGTATATCGGGGTTGGTCAGACTGTTGGAACATAAGAATTTAGCTAAGGTTAGAATGGATGACCCCTAGAAGATAAGTAATTTACAAGCGAACTCAGCAATTGCACTGCATGCATTACCACACGAACACACAATAGAGTGGGAGAGGGTTAAAATTCTAAGAATTAATACAGGTAGGTGGAGAAAAACAGAGGTTGATTACTGAATCTTGGTTCGTCGAGTATGCACCCAGCATATGCAATAGGAATGACTAATCGCTCATACCGGAAATATGGAAAATACTACCACCGACCAAGTCAAGCGATGAATTGAAATAATTGAATTATATAAACGAAGTTAGAAAGTTGGGCGAGTAGTGTCTTGATATGATTGTGCTCGAAAAGTGGTTATCAGTAAATATTACTACCTGTATATCACCACTGTGAGACTTTATCAAAATAAATTTTACCCATAATGGAGCTAGAAGTTGCCTTGACAGTGACACGAAGAGATCGTTTAAGAGGAAGACGACAGCTTATGAGCAATAGTGGAGCTAGTTAAAGAGGACTGCTGTTGAAGTCCTATTTTTCCCTTCATAACCAACGAGAATAATAGTAATAATATGAATCGACAACAGTAAAGTCAAAAAGCCAAGGCTTCTTGTGAATCAAACTCCAAACACAGCATATTTCTCGTTTATTTTACGATAACTGCATCATATATTCGATGTCATATTAAATGATCTCTCTGAAGAACTTGACTTGGTTTCAAGTTAGAATCTTTTTAATGTACTTCTAATATTCAACTGTCTGTTTTTATTTAATATGGGTGGTCATTAATGAAAGTTATTGTGTTAAATGAATACAAAAAAAGAACATGGAAGCAATTTGAATTACCTGGTTTCGAAATATTCAATTTTGAAACACCACGACTAGCTTGTTTTGATTTTCTCAGCTTATAACGATTGTTTAAAACATCCCAGTAGAATTGTGTAAATTCTTTATCAATAACAGGAAAACAAAGTACCAAGGATTGAAGGACCTGAAAAATAAGAGAAAGGAAATTGGAATTTTAATGTAAAACTGTGTAGTTGGTAAAAACTGTCAAAGACATTTAGGACCATTTTAAAACATTCAAAGACCATTGGATCGGGTCCCAGTGACTCACTAGCCTTGTAACCAGGAAGTCCTGGGTTCGAATACCGCATTGTGGGTGGGTACTGATGAAGACTCCCAAACTAGGACGAAACAGCTGTCCGGTACTCTCTAACTGACGTCAGCTCATAATGAAATCCTCCATGCAATCAGACATTTAGGAGTTATTGACTGTAATTGTGAAACTCTAGTACTGTTTTCTTCCGTGAGCATTGGTGATTACTTTCCAAGAGGATTCAAATTTCTGAAATGAATACGTCTAGCTACTCTGGTAACGGTCTGAACCTTCAAAATAGCGGTGTGCTAAAATCTACTTGCATGGAGTTAACAGATTTATGTGATAATTAACTCTATTATTGTTTTGCTTCCTTGAGTTCAGAAAGGGATTCAAATAGTGGTATTGAGATTAAGTAGTGAGATAGCTAGGAGGAAGTCTAATCTTTGCTCTTATCAAGACTTAATATCGACTAGTGAGTTAGACAAAGTTTACAAGTAAATCGGCTCGAAAATGAACTCAAACCTCCCGCTGTTTGGTTGTTGACAATTCTTATCATTGAACCATCTATGAGTTGGTGATCAGTTATAGTGATCAGCTTCGACTACAGCAGAATGTGCAACTAGAGATCTTTTTTCCCCTCAATATCACTTCTGCTGAGATCTCCACTTTAGCTTCAACTGCTATCCTAGCATAATAGCACCATACTTAGAACACAAGATCGAATAGTTCTTTTGCCGTTCTTTATCTATCATTTGTCACGGTAGAAGGCATTTGAACACCTAATCCACTCTTGTCATTCTGTCAACCCTGACCATGATTTTAAGATCACCTACCGAATCCATGCTGACTTGTGGCGTTTTATTCGTTACAGACTTCTACAGACAGCGGAGGCCTTGGCCATTCATGAATTTAAGCCAGACCTTTGTATACTGAAGAAATATGTGCAATTCCCACTTCTTCATTGGCCGTAAAGGGATAGACATTTATGCATTTTGTTTATTTAGTTATTCTATTTACCTCTCCCTTATTATTACGATTATTATTATTACTATTCTCACTCTAAATTTTTTCCACTTGTCATTCTAAATCCCAAAATTGTTTGCAATATTGAATTCTTTCTTATTAAATTTTACACCATGTTATGTAACATTATATATTAGCCTAGTAATCCTATAATTATGCACCCCTTTCCAAAATCTATACACCTTATGTATTATTCTATATATGACATTAATTATTTTGCCACTAGACATTAAACCATGATTATAACCACAAATATTTTAATTGTATTTCATACTGTTATTATTATTTCATGTATTCACACTTTTGACCTAATTCCCTCACCGGATATAATTTCTTAATCATATATATATATATATGATTGTACAGCTTGATAATAAATTTCGATAGAGAAAGAAAGACCAGATAATAATAAATTCGTTGAAAAGGGTCTCTTCGCTGAATATTATGCTCTTAAAGTCACATATGTAAAACGGAATTTATTGTTGGATTGATTGGAGGATTTCATCATGAGCTGACATCAGTTAGAGAACCTTTGGGAAACCAGACAGGAGTAGTGAACAGCCTACTGTTTCGTCCTATTTCGGGACTCTTCATCAGTACGCACCCACTGGGGTTCGAACCCAGGATCTTCCGGTTACAAGGCGAGCTAGCTCGTAGACTATTAAGCCACTGGGACCCGATCCAGTGATCAGCCCATGAACCCTAACTTCTGCCAATTCACGATATAGCGTGACCACTAGCCAGTTGCATCTCTGGAGAGTATATGTCCTCACACCTGACCTGCTGCATCCTATTAGTCACGACTTTTCACTAGAACCCCAGGTAACTACCCACCTGAATAAGGCCAGTCGCCAGTGAGCATCTCATTGATATTCAAGTATTGGTTTGTTTGACATTATGTATGACCACTTATAACAGATTTCTAATAACTAATTAGATGAAGTTTCCAGCACAATTTATTACTTCTCATAATCATAATCAGTACACATTCACACGATTTCATCAAAATTGCTTTGTGTACATAGCCTTATTTCTCTGTAGAGTTTCGTTTTTATTACGATTTTCTCTTATAGGTTTGAGAGGTGGTACATCATTTCCAATAAAGCTGTTTGGTTTTGATTCGATGGACAAAGATTCTGGGAATAAATTTTTTTTTTCACCTCTTCACTTAATTATATTATCATGAAATTAAAATGACAATTCACCGAAGAAAATTTTCTTTATCGACGAAATCATCTTGACAAGTGTTGGCTGTACAGTTGTATTTATATTTACCAAAAATGTATAGTAGTCTGTTATGGAGTTGTAGGGGGTGGAGGTGATATAATTGATAATTACTTGATAATTACTTAGAAGTGGCTTCAAAAGTGAAAATAAAAGTTGTAAGGAAGCGTTAGAAATTTAATGATGATAAGATTAAAATTGTTATTGAGTGAGAATTAAAGGTGGTAGTTGAGTGCCAATTTAACAAGTGTGAAGAGGGTGAGAAAATGTACAAAAGGAACGTATATGAGACCGATTATAGTGAATTAATTATTCAAATAAATGCAAACTAAAAGTAAAATTGATAATAGAAAAAAATAAACAATAAAATTTTTAAGTATTGGTTTTTTTGTAGGGATTTTGTTTGATTACATGGAGGATTTAATCATGAGCTGACATCAGTTAGAGAACCACTCCATGCAATCAAACAAAATCCCTACAAAAAAACTAATACTTGAAAATTCATCTGATGCTCACTAGTGACTGGCCCTATTCAGGCAGTTAACCTGGGGTTCTAGTGGGAAGCCGTGACCAGTAGGGTACAGCAGGTCGAAGATGAGGCAGTAACTCATCGAAGAAGACATTGCGAAGTGGTCGCGCTATGTCGTGAATTGGCAGAAGTTAGAATTCAGGAACCATTGGATCGGGTCCCAGTGGCTCAATGATCTACGAGCTCGCTTGCCTTGTAACCAGAAGGTCCTGGGTTCGAATCCCGGTGGGTGCGTACTGATGAGGAGTCCCAAACTAGGACGAAACAGCTGTCCAGTACTCCCAGGTTTTCCAGTGGTTCTCTAACTGATGTCAGCTCATGATTAAATCCTCCATGAAATAAAATTTTTGGCAGAGAACAACTAGTGAAGAGGTTAAGACCATGGTAGAATAAGTGAGTGGATAAACTTTTCCTGTTTACCAAGGTTCGGTGTTGTATTGACGAAACCTGACGCCCTTTGTACCATTTGGCCTCACTTTGTAGATGATCTTGAAAGATGAGTCTGCCGGAGCTAAGTGGCTTGAGTTCACCAAATGCTAGAGAATTGAGCTAGTAATTGCTAACCATGCCGGATAATGTTCATAGATGAGTCTGGAAAGTGTGCGCTTTATGTGTTCAGTATAACTAGCGACTCAGATAAGTCTTCATAGAAAATGGATATTCTTGAAGATTTATCGAGAAAGAACATGAAGTTAAAGCAAAAGCTTGAATGAACTCAGATGGTGCCGAAAAAACTGCTATTTATCAGCGTTGAATTTAAAGGTGATACTACAGCTGAGATTCTGATTAACTGCTTATCTAAGTCACTGAAAAGAGCCTTCTTTGTAGCTGAGCTATGGATGAATTTCTACAGCCGATAAATAATAAATGCATGTGACGCTATAGGCTACTTCAGTGTATGTTTATAAATTCAACTGCTCCTGTAGAACTAGTTATATTGGTCGCACAAAAAGCACACTTTCCAAACGCATAAGTGAACATTATCCGGAATGGTTAGCAAGCAAAGGACAATCCAAGCCAGTTACTAGCTCAGTTCTCGAGTACTTGGTGAACTGAAGTCATGTAGCTTCACCAGAGTCGCCTTTCAAGATCAGCTAAAAGGTGAAGCCAAATGGTAAAAAAGGTACATTTTCACACCCTCTTCACATTTGGTAAATTGACACTCAACTGCCTTTATTTTCAGTAAATAACAATTTCAAACTTATCATCATTAAATTTCTACCGCTTTCTTCGTTTGTACCGCTGAGTACTACTTTTAAAGTTACTTATGAGTAATTACATCAATTATGTCACACACACACAAACCCCTCTCCTCCATAAAGACTACTATATACATTTTTTGTAAATGTAAATACGACTGTACAGCCCACCCGTGTAGATGATTTCGTCGATGAAGAAAATTTTCTTCACTGAATTCGGCTTTTATTTTATTGGATAATAAAATGGTGAATATAAATTGCGCATTTAGTCATAATAGTAATAATAATGGTCTTATCAATAGTAAGGATGAAAAAGTGAGGCAATCTGTGACAACAGGAATAATGGAAAAAACAGCATGATTAAACAAACAAATGTTCAGGTAGACGTAGTAGTAGTCGATAAAGGCTAGTAAAAACAAATGAACCGACTAAGTAATGTTGGATTGTAAGGGAAGTAAATGAGACACGTTTTTAATGAAGATGTGATAAGATTAAGGGATGATAAGAGAAGGGTTGAAAATGCAAGTAACGAAGGGGTGGTGTAGAAGTTATCAGTTGGTTATGTCTTAATAGACCAAGCAAGGGAGGGATAATGGCTGTACGAACCTCTTTTGAATGCATAGTTTAGGTTTGATAGTTTGAATGCCTATCGCCTCAGCTGTGTGCAGTAGACGAATACGAAGTCTACTGGAAAGATTACGTGGGATACGATGAATTAATTTGGGAAAGCTCTCGTTTTCTCCACTAAATGACCACTATCAATTAAATGGGACAGAATTGAGCTACGGATTGTTTTTGTATGGCCTTTTGCCAAACCACGATGGGAGATGTTCACCAACACGTGGGCTAAGCTGTCTAGTAGTACGCCCAACATAGCTGTCACTGCAGGTGTAGTTGAATTGATAAATGCACAC